TTCTTTCAGCACCATTTTGTAGTTTTCAGTTTACAAGTTTTCCCCCTCCTTGTTTAAGTTTATCCCTGAGTATTTTATTATTTTTAGTACTATTTATTGTACATGGAATTATTTGCTTAATTTCTTTTTCAGATTGTATCACTGATCTCTTATAAGACTTATTTCAGGTTTGACTTCTAAAATAAAGGCTTTTTCTGATCTTCAAAGTAGAAGTGACCATTTTCTCCTCTAATCTCCCATATAGGTGGATATTATTGTAAAACTGTAACACAACATTGCATTTCGTTGTTTAGAAATCTGTTTTTATTAACTAGAGTGAAAGCTCTTTGAGGGACTCTTTCATGTTTGTGCTCCCAAAGCCTGCTACATAATAGAGATTCAGTAAATATTTTTCAACAGATGTATAAACAAATGAAAAAAATATAGATATAAGCATAATATTCTAATTGAAAGAACATTAAACCTTAGGTAGTCTCTCTTCCCTCATTTATATTCATGTCTAAATCTTTGTATCAGAATAAAATCCAGCCATGGTGTCTAGAATCCCCTATGGATGATGGACCGGAGCTTGAATTAGCTGGTTATTAGGATAAGAAGGGACCTGAGAGAGATACCTTATGGCCTCATCACTTTTACAGTCAAGGTTAAATGACCTGTTCAAGAAAACAAATTGAATAATAGGAGAAGTGGGCCAGTGGTAGAATACTCAATCTAGGTTCACTTTTTTCTCAACTACACTAGAATGAATGCATTCCTCTGGCATCAAGATGTAATTTTAAAGACTTGTCTCTGAGAGTGAAAGATTTTAAAGTTCTATGACAGTTTTACACAGCAATCAGTTGGAAATATCTGTTTAAAATGATGAGTATAAAATTTTTAAGCTGAAGTTGATTTCAACATTATGCCAGCCTTTATGTTGAAACATAGTAGTTCAAATGACTTATGAAAACCATTTAAAAGGAAATAGTTTAAGCAGCATTTGGAAATAAGAATCCTTTAAATAGTAATAACATAGGAATGACAAAAACAGATGTATGGTTTTTATTTCTTTACAGTTATAGATGGCTAAAAAGTGATTCTAAAAATTTATTGAGATTTTTCATATTATATTTGACATAATGTTATTATAGCTTACAGTGGTATTAGAAAGTATCTCCCAGTTTAAACCACTTACCACCTCCTACCGTATGGTGTGTTGCTTAATTACAAATCAGCTTTTAAAAACTAAAATATAACTGATTATTTCTGTTGCATCCGTATACTGAAATAGAATATATAAATTTAATAATATATTAGGACCACCTAATTTACTTAGTTTTCTAGACCATTCTTATTGATAAACTTCTTTGAATACCTCAATAAAAAAATAAACCTCTGTGATTATTCTCAAATTATACATCATGCTATCATGTAAACATTCTTCACAATTTTAGAAAAAGGGAGCAATGGCAAAAGGGAAAAAAGGAGAAAAAAATATTTGCTTTGCAAGAAAGTATATATGATTAAAAATACATGATTTTATAAAAATTGATCTGTTACAGCTTACTTTGAGACAACTTTTAGCAATTTCTTCGCATTTTAGGTACATATCATTATGACATATTTAAAAGAGTTCACCTGAACAGAATCACCTATATAAAAATAAATATATATATAAAGCTTAAAAAACATAAAACTTCCCAGCACCTAGCATGCTCAATAAATATTTGTTGAATAGATGCAATCCCCTCCAAAAAAAACAACAACAAAAAATCCCGTATAAAACTATTTGTTAAGATAAAAAAGTGTTGTTTCTTTATTAATTAATTTATTTCAGTGTTCTTTTATATAGCAAAGTCTCCTAGTATTTAAAATGCATTTTAAGAAATTGTTCTTCAGACAATTTGCATCTTTAGCTGTAAGGTAAATTATATTATCTAGAAACCATTCTTAGCTGACTTTTGAAGGATATCCGATATATTTGCTGTATTTAGTGCTTGAAGGAATGGGGTACTAGGAAGAGTTGAACAATCTCTTAAATTATTCATAAGCTTCTCGTCCAGAATGTAAATTAACATAGATGAAAAATGACATGTGTTGTTGTTGTTTTTTTTTTTGTTGTTGTTGTTGTTGTTTTAGCAAAAACTCTTCTTGTCTCAAGAATGATATTTCTATAACCAGTACCAAGTACACTGGCTAAGCAATAGATTATACTGTTATTAGAAATATAAAACCAATACTGAGAAGTACTTTACAAAAAGAAGGTGGCATTTTCTTTTTCCCTACTTCTATGTACCTAGAGAATAGAATATACTATACTAGAAAAACACAATAAAAATTAAATATACTTTGTAACAAATATTATTTAAAATAGTATTGTGAATACATATCCATCATCAACAATTTTAGGCCCAGTGAATAATGAGAACTCTTGGGTGAAAATTTGATGTAACTGAAACCAGTAAATTTAAAAATGTTTCTGTAGACTCAGTTGATAATAAGATTGTTGTATCAAATAAAATAATGTGTAAAAACTAATGAATATAGTAATGAGGAATACAAATGCCTACTATTTTAGTTTCTGTGAACCCTTTCTTTATAGCTCTTGTATGTTTTGATAATTCTGAACGTTAAGTCCTTCTCGTTATTTAGGGTGAAATCTGTCTCATGAGATGATAAGATTCATGAAAGCGGAGACACGTTTGCTGCCTTTAGCAGATAACTAATGTGCCTGGCACATATGAGAGGTGCTCAGTAAATAAGTGAACAAACAAATTTTTGTTTTCATACCTTCATGCTATTTTGGTTTTCTGGATTGGTATAAACATATATGCCAAATTTCTATCAGACTCTTGTCTGTGTGATAATTCCTCAAATACTTCAAGACTTAGAAAATATGCCCTAATCTACCTCCACTCAGATGTTAAGTTAGTTCACTGTGCTATGGGTTAAACCATCAGACGCTGCCAAAGTTTGTTTTTGACTTATAAAAATTGCAGTTGTGTAGGATTCAGCCTAATATTTTAACTCCAAGTCTGTTTAAAACAGTTGAGAAATATGCCAACATAGAGAGGTCCAAAGCTGAGTTACACGGGGTAGTTGAGAAAAGACGTACCTGTTTGTAATTTACATGAGCAAAAAGTTGGTAAGTTAATTACAACACTAATTGTTATGAATACACTCTTGTTTTAAAACATGTTTAAATCATGTGGACTGCTGGGCCGGCTGAGTGGCACGATGGTTAAGAACTGGCTTGGGACGCCAGAGGGCCCCGGTTCGGATCCCACATATGAGGGCCAGTGACACTGCCCTCCACAGCTAAGATGCTGAACAACAGCTCAACCTGGAGCTGGGCTGCCGTGAGTCGCTGGAGATGGCGTAGGCTGCAGCCCCTGTGGCAGTGGGTTGCCATGGGCTACCGTATGTAGCCAGCAGCCAGCGTGAGCGGCCAGCAGTCGCAGTGAGCGGCCGTCCAGAAGCCGGTGACTGATCTGCCTCACCCGGGAAGAGCGCAATGATGGTGCCAACTTGGGCCAGTGAAGCAACGTCCTCCACAACTAGCCTGAAGACCAAAACGACAGCAACTTGTCTGTTCCCCTTCCCCAATTCCCCAGCGCTGTTCCCATCCCCCCAATCCCCCAATAAAAATCTTAAAAAAACAACAACAAAAAAACCACGTGGACTGTTGTCTTTGTTTTTTGGCTGCCCAATATCTATACTCTTCCTCACTATACCCATGTCAGATACATTCTTTTACAGATGCTTTTGGTGCTGGGAACATGGTCTTGCTTTGGCCTGGACTTTGAATCAGAAACTAGTAACTTGAATGAAAAAACTGTGCTGAATCCATTCTTGGGGCAGGTTGTATCATCAGTGGCAACTACCACCAGTCTAAGGCAGGTGGCAGCCTTTCTGTCCCTTTGTATGCTGTGCACGGTTTCAGTGCCAGCTGGACGATGTAGTGGTGTCACTGGACCTGTCCTCCTCTGTGACTTTGGGCATCTTCTTGACTTCACAGCCTTCTAGCCTGGTACTTTAGTTCTCCCAATGTTCTTATATAGGTTCTTTCCCTGCTTAACTCATCCAAAGTTGTCATCTATTGCTTGCAACTGAGAACCAGTGTTTTCTTGGCACTTTAATGGTCTGTTGCTGCGCCGCCTTTATTACCCTAGAAGACAGAAAAACAACCATTTGGTGGCAGTAACTTGCAGCGAAGGGTTTTTTAGGACATGCTTCACATACTTTAGGACATAGTTTGCTCACATATATGTGCTGGTCTATGCTCAGCTAAATACTCAAGGGGAACTCTGCAGATCTCAGGAATTTACTCTGTGCAGGTCTCACTTCCGTAGTGCTGTGAGCTCCCGATGGCTTGGTCTCTCCGACTTTCAGCCCTTTATCATGAACCCAGTGAAGTGACTCGGTTCCATCTGGGTTTCTCCTCCTTTCACAGAGGCCTAGACTCAAGCGTGTAAGCTGGGCAATCGAAGGGTTCAACTTGTTTGTTTCTCATCTGTTAGGGTTTACTGACCTTCATTGCTCGATGTACAATATCTTGCAAACCATTGTTTCATATACTTTGTCCTTTTATGGTTGTTTCAGATGGGAGGGCAAATTTGATCTCTGTTATTCCATCTTGGTCAGAAGCAAAAATTTCAGATATGAAGGATTACAGATACGCTAGGTTTTTTTTTAGATGCATATGGATACCACCGGTGTATTCAGTGAAAGTCATCATCTTACCAGCAGTGATTTCATTAATTAAATGTTTTCTTTTCAGATTGTTGCTTTTTGTGTGCTTTACCCAAAGTTTGAAATCACTGCAGATTTAACTGTCATAAATGTGTTTGTTGTCATGCACGTTGTGTTTTCTGTCTCTCTTTGTTAAAAATAGTATCTCAAACAGGTATATAAAGTAATCTTCAAAAAAAACATCAATTTGTTGTTTTTTGAATAGTCATTTTTATGAAGACAGCCATGTGTTATAGTAGCATGTTTGTGTTTCTTTTTATTTTCTTCAGAGGCAGCAAAAAGGATATTTCAAGAAAAAGGCATCTTGGCAGGAGAGAGCAGAAGTTATAAGCCTCATTTGACCTTCATGAAATTGTACAAAACACCATGGCTCTGGAAGACGGTAAGGGGACATTTTTATTGTAAGCCTTGTTTTACTGGCTACACCAGTGTTAAGCAGTGTTAAGCATTGTACTGGTTTTTGACACCCCACCACGATTGTTCCTGGGATTCCAAGTCAGTTTGGTTCCAATTCCCAAGGATACTGAGTTGGCTCACGAGCCTCCATGGAGACGGTTCCACCCGTTGCCTCCTTTGCCACTGCAGCTATTAGCTGTATACTCTGACCAACACTTATTGTTGCTTCGTCTGTTACCACATATGCTTCATTTCTTGAAGAGCCATGAGGTGGTGCCAGGGTTTTATTTTGCTGCTTCCTTTGCTTGTGGTTGTTAGCAGCCTGCTACTCTCCAAGCTTCCTCCCCCGGCCTGCGTACACTGGTGCTGCTCACGGCAACTGGGTTCTTCAAGGTGGAACGAGCTTCTTAATCCCCTGTACGTAGCTCTTTCAAGGTTCCCAAAAGACCACCTTGCTCTTTCAGTGGTTGTTTCCATTGAGGCCTTGGAGCAAGTTTTCCTGGGACTGGGATAGAGGGTAACTGAGGGGACCCCTGTCCTTAAAAGTGCTTCTCCCTGAGGATGGCCAACGGTGACACAAGCCAAGGGACATGTCTCTTGAATTCCCCTGTCTCAGGGTGACTTTCTGTCTTCCCAGGCCACCCCTGGCTTCCTCAGAGGTTGGGATAACTTTTGACTTTCTCTGGATTCATGAGCATCTCTCCTGGAATCTTAAGGGCACCCTTCACTATTTTTCCCATGTCAGCCTAGGGAGTTTCTCATGCAAGTTCAGACACCTGCTGACCTGCTCTGATAGACCAGAGTTTGGGAGATAGCCATGCAGAGTAGCATTCGCTCCTGCTCTTCATGACCCTTGGCTGCATTTAAGACTGATTTGCAGCTCTGTAAGTGAAGGTCAGGTTTATTAGTAAGTAGACCTTCTGTCTAAATTTGGCACATTTTGTATTTAATGTCTGTGTGCTCAGATAGTCTTTTTGGTCCTTTGAAACGTGTTTGGGTGGTTGACTATCCAGTGCTTATGAGTTTTCTACAAACTATTGTAAATATCTTGAGATATTGTAAATATTTTTGAGGAAAGGAGATCTTGCATGTTTTCGTTACGACTATGCCTCTAATTCAATAATAACTATGTCATGTGCCACTTCAGAATATTGAGGTAAAAATAATTTGTGTGAATAATAGATTTTGAAATTTGGAGTGTTAACTGGCAACATTTGTAGACTGACAGTTTACGTTTTTCACTCATTATCTTTCTTGTTTTGCTTTCAAATGGATTGTCCTCCTCCCAGTGGTTTCAGACTTTATCACAGAATGACAAATCAGTGGTGAAGGTAATAATCCACATTTCAAAATGTTTCTTTGTCTTTACAATATTAAATTTGAAATAAGAGCACATTTATCAAAGGAATGTTTAAACTACTCTAGAATCTCAATTTGGATATTTCAGACTGAATTTAAATGAGTCCTTGGCAGTTAATTTCACAGAACCTGCTCCCTTACTTTACAGAAAGGGATATGAGACTTAGGAAGGTTAAATGGCAGAAATGAGGTGACATCTTCCTCAGCGCAGCACCCTGTGTGGAATCCATCTTACCGCATTCTCAGTCTCCTGTTTTTCTCTGCCGCTGGTCCTGGCTTCTTTATCAGAATTAATTTCTATCTGTGAGGAGCTCCCTGGTCCAAAGCCTATTAATTCAACAAATTTTTGAGTGCCTACTATATGCTAGACACTGAGTGCTGGGCTTAGTTATAGTCAAAATAGAAACAGTCCCTCCTTAGATGGTGTATAAACTAAATCAGATTGTACTTTTTACTTATTTATTGATTGATTGATTTTTTGGCTATAGTATCAGCTCATGCATTTTATTTTTAGATCTCATCAGTTTTAGGTCTATCCTTCCAACCCTAATATCTTGGAATTAGTTTTCATTATACATAATTAGGGCTAATATTCACCCACAAAGCAACAGGACAACAACATAAGCCAGCATCTGGTCTGACTGGCTGGTACAAGGCTTTAAATAAATCTCCCCAAAGGGGCATGGAAGAGAACAAACACACAGAACAACTGCTGTCTTAGAATCTCACTCATAATTAATGTAAAATACAAATGGAAGATACAGTATGAATGTACCAGGGCAGGGTCCCAGCTGAAAGGATTCATTCCAGATGGTTCAAATGAAGAGAGCTGAGTGAGGGGACAAGGCCAGGGGCTCAGAGACCAGCAACAGCACGGAGCCACTAGAATCTGTTGTCTGAAAGAAACACAGGGAGCAAACAGTGTCACTGAGGAAGTGTTCCCAGCAAGAACTGTTTTCATGGAAGGATCCAGTTACTGCTGTTAAAGAACAAAATTTAACCGAGTAAATGTGAAGATCTAATTGGCTTTATTAGGCAATTCATGGATTAGGCAGCTTCCCATCTACAATAGCAGCTAGAAGGGCACTCCTGCACTTTTTTTTTTTTTAAGATTAGAATGCTTAATCTTTAGAAAATAAATTATGACCTTACTGTTTTTCGGAAAGCCAACTAAGAATGATTATTTTTAAAATTAATGAAATGACTCTGTTTCTGTTTGCTACTATGCTGTTCAGTGTTTTTGGATGCTTAAGGAAGTATATCTTAAACTTGGGGGTTCATGAGTCACCTGGGCTGTTTGGTGAAGCTGCAGATTTCCACTTTCTAACTTCAGAGCTGGAGTTGGATGGACTTAAAGACCTTAGCTTTTTTACAATGTCCAGTAGTTGCCACAGGTGATTCTGATCAGATGATCTGCAGAATAGTACAGTAAGTCCCCACTTCATGTCGTCGGTAGGTTCTTAGAACTTCTGTGATATAATGAAACCAGTTTTCCCACAGGCTAACTGATAACCATAAGAATAAAGTTCCTGTGGCATCTCATCAACACTGTAATGAAAATATGTAATTTGAGAACCTGCAGGCTTAAGTAAATATCCAGCATTTTCTTTATGCAGCAAATCATTGGTTCCACTGTAAGAGTTAAAACCAATATGGTAAGGAGGCATATATAACAGTGGATTTGTATTATGCTTTGTCTTTTGGAATGCAGATTATTTAAAAATATATGGCTCTTTGGTCTTAACTTTTTTACATTTCCAAATATCTGTTCTCTCATCATTAATTGTCTTCTGGGTTTTTATTGTGGTCCACTCATGTATAAGGGAGTGGTCATTGATAAAGTCAGTAATGGGATGTATTCCTGGCATTCATTGTTATTCATTATTTAGATTGAAAATGAAATAAAATGAGAGAGAAAAAGGTGTGTGAAGATTGATAATGAAATAAAAAGAGAGAGAGAAAGGTGTGTGAAATAATAGGATTTCTTTTTTCACTCAAATATTAGGAAGTTTGTCTCATTTCAAGTACTTTTTTTATTACTTTAAATGTTCTTTTAAGTGTAAAACTATTAGGTGAATATATACACCCTGTTAACAATCCAAATACATACAAACTCCATAGAGTGAAAAATACGTTTTTTTCCTCATCACCATCCTGCCATCTCCTTTTTTCCAATATGATTTCTCTCTCTGTAGGTTACCACTACTAGTATATCCTCCTGACCTTTTCCTATACACTGCAAATATATAAAGGTGCATATACATGCATAGAATTTCTTTAAAACAGAAATAAATATGCAGTTGATCCTTGAACAACACAGGTTTGAACTGCACGGGTCCACTTATACACAGATTCTTTTCAATAAATACTGTAAATGTATTTTCCTTATGATTTTCTTTATAACATTTTATTGTCCCTAGCTAAATTTATTATAAGAATATAGTATGTAATACATATAACACACAAAATATGTGTTAATCAACTGTTATCGGTAAGGTTTCCAGTTAACAGTAGGCTATTAGTAGTTAAGTTTTTGGGGAGTCCAGAGTTATATGCAGATTTTCCATTGTGCAAGGGGTAGGCGGTCAGCACCCTTTACTCCTGTGTTGTTCATGGGTCAACTGTATATTATTTTGATTTATCATAGTTTATTTTCCCTTTAATGAATAATTATGTCGATCTGTTTCTTTGCTACCACAAACGATACTAAAGTGAACATCCTTGTTCATTTTTCTTTGGGTAGATAGGCCAGTATTTCAAAGAACCAATTCCTTTAAGTGGTATTCCAAGGTCAAAGGATACTATACATTTTAACTTTTTAAAAACACTCCAAGTTAATGTTTTAAAACAATAGTGTCAGTTTATACTTCCAATCACAGTGTATGAGAGGAACATTTCTTAGGATAAACTTGAGGAAAAAGGACCATCAATGAAGGTAAATCATCTCATTGACATAAAAGATGTGAACAGATGTCTGGTGCAGCGGATAGGTTTTCCCCACCACGGAGATGGCCATAAAGATCGAGTGTGAGGATTTCTCAGTGGTGTTCAGTGTTGGCTGCAGAAGTCCCTGGGCTTCTGGGGTATCATCCACTTGTAGACACCCGCTTGCAGGTAATACCATTCAGTAGAAGTAACCAAAAGCCCGGTGGGGTAACCAAAAGTGCTATAGATTGTGTTCAGAATTTTGAAAATAGGAAACTCTCTTTAAATTTCCTGATAGAGGACTTCCTCTGCTACAGCATGGTATTCTGGTTCCCAAGCTAGAGTACTGAGTTTTTTAACTTTGATTCGGGGAAACATAAGACTTTCCTTGGCAATTATATACTTTTTTAACACCAGGAAACATTTAGTCAATGTGTTAGTTTTGCATATTTTTAGTTTTGTGAAATTCCAGTGGGGTATATCACATAAGAGAATATAGAAGGTAGTTGTGTATTTTAAAGCTATTTTGATTATCACTATGCTTTCAAAGTTGTAGTTTTTTTTTTATTAAATGAACGCCTCAGAAAATCTTGTAAATTACAATGTCTCTGAAATAGTATCTAAAATTCAAGTTATTTGTGTAGTTTCCATATAATATATTTGTTTCACATGATTCGTTGCTACTTATTCAGCTCCATGCTTCTCGTGGTATATTCTTTTGGATTTATTTTTCTCATTGAGTGACCTTGTGTTTCTGTGATTTAAACATCGCAGAAACTGCTTGGTTAGAAGTGTATGCTAACACTTGGTGGCAGAAGAAGACCAGTTTCAAATCAAACAAGCGTCTTACTGCAGAGCTAGATTCCTCAAGAAACAATGTGGTCTTTTCGATAGATCAGTTGTTTTCATGCATACATTATTTTCTGGGCTTCTTAGATACCTTTCTTGATTTATGACTTTCAAATTACTAATGTAACACTGAAACTATCAAAGCCATAGTTTATTAATTGGTACTTCCTTGCAGCTGTTTTTCAGAGTCAGACAATGAGAGAACTTTAGAATGAAAGAAGTTATCTTCTTTGAAATTATTAGCTGTTATTGTCACTTGAGCTTGTTTGTTTTGAGTACAGAGTTTGATATGCACCAAGCAAGGGTGAAGGGTGGTTGGTTATTGGGCCATATGATGATGAGGTCGAGAGGAGGTAGGGAAGAGTTTATAGCAATGGGAAGTGGAAAAGGACAGCGTGTGGATTAAAGTTCTCTTCTGATGGTACAATTAAAGGAAAACCCAGTCCCTGAATTGTTTTGTGATTGAATATACAGGACCAAAATTGTAATGAAATTCAATTGGCCGAATCCCAACCTTCTGCATCCTTCGCAGGCCAGGACCCTCTGCTGTCATCTCTCCTCACCTAGCACCATTATGTACTCTGACATAGCTATCAGCACATTTTCTCAGGAATTTATTAACTAGCCTGGTATAATTTGGTTGCCACTCAATTTCCTGGGCCTGCATGATAATGGACCTTTATACCATTTCAAAACTCAGGAGTACTAGACTATTCCTTCTCAAAGGAGTCCCTATAATAAATTCGAAGAAGCATAAATTTTCTTGTTTTAGCTCTGTTGGTTAGCCCTGGACAAATCTCATAACCTCTCTTAACCTCTGTTTACTCGTAGTGAAAGGGGGAGCTTGGTCTTAATGACTCTTGACTCCAATGCTGTTCTGAAATGTCTATTAGGTAAGCATTTTGACCAAATAGGTTAATATGGCTTCACATAGAGCATTTTTTATTATGTTTTTTTAGACTGCAGATTGGCTTTCTTGTATGCATAGAAGGAGAAAACAGAAAGAGAAAGGTCTTTGAATACTGATAGGAAGATAGATGGTGGCAATTTAAATCTGAATCTTTTTATCTCTTCTCCTGGAAATCCTATAGAACAATAAAGACAATGGGGAAAATATCACAAACCTCATTGTCAGTGACGCTAGGAGATAGGAAAATCTGTACCAAATTATGTGCAAGCATGTCCAGGAGCAACTGGGACCAGCGGGACTTGCATGAAAATTTACTTTAGGATGGGGGAAGACTGTAGAATGAGGAGCAGGCCTCTTGGTGACAGATCTCAGAAATCATCAGCACATTTTCACACCCAGATAGTGAGGGCCCCACTGCACTGCAAGAAGGCACAGAAAGTGTGAAAGGGGGCCCAGAGGAGATGAATTGTAGGAAGCACTGCTTTCAGAAGGGGAGGGGAGTGCCTCCAGATGCAATGAAGGAACTCAGGGCTGGTGGTAGAGGGGCAGAGCAGGCCAGCTTTCTCAGGGGCCCATATTATTAAGAATAGTCCACCACTAGCAAAAGAGGAGGAAGCCTTGAGCAGAGCAGCCTGGAAGACTACCCTGCCACTTCCTTCACCAGGCCCCTAAAAGAAGGCACTTCAGATGCCCTTGGTATCAGGGAGCCTTTATTATTCCAGACAAAAGTCTGTGTTTTAAAAAATATCCCTGGTACAAAATAAAGCAGATTATTTTAGTAACCTATTCCTGAATCTTTCAATGCCAAATGACTTAATTACTCATAATTTTTAGCTGTTTTGAGTCTTTTTTTATATGACCAATTATCCTTAGATCTAAGGATATATGGTATGGAATTCTCCTTGGATTTTTCTTATTTAAAAAATCAGTAAATAAAACACAACATATCTTTTTTTATTGGGTTTTCCTTAAAGTTAAAAATTCTATGAAATCTGCTATGAGATTGAATTAAAATTTCTTCTGAGATATTCTAGGTGCTGGTAGTCAAGTATGTCATCTATTGTGGGCCGAGAGCTCTATTTATAGCTAGTGACTTTACTTAGGTTTCTAATGCATATGTCAACTTCATGCTGTTGTCATCTATTTCGATGTGTTGAAAATACTAAATACATTTACCATTGCTTAATGCTACCTGGGGAATGGATAACAAAATCAGTGAAAAGACTTGTATTACTGAGCACCTTTCTTCCTTGTTCCACCTCCTAACTGGGACCCCAGTTAATGTAGATCTTAGTGTCTTTATTTCTTTCCTGCTTCCTTGCTCAGTTTTTGTAGCAGTCCCTTGTTGGGAGGGACACCGTTCTCGGTTAGGCAGGGGCCTCTGTCCTAAGTGGTGTGCAGAGAATATGTCTGGGCAGTTGAAAGAAGATGAATTAGGTGAGCAAGGTGTTCTATTGAGATGGGGAGTGGGGGTGAGGGGAGAGGAAGCATGTCGATGTGGCTAGAGGCAAGGAATTTGATGGTTCATGTGAAAGTGGGAAATTAAGCAACTACTAGATGAATAGGAGCAGGATGAGCTATAAAAACTCTCTAGGTCTTTCTTGTTTAATAGTACAAGGCTGTATCTGTGGATGAACTTAAACTCTTTTGCCAGTGTACAGTCCCTTCTACAATGCTAGGTGTTTAACTCTTATTTGGGTTGTATCTGGGGCTATCGTTAGGGCTGAAGTTCTGTCTATAGGTAAGCTGACCAATTTAGGTAAATGGTTCCATTCTTCCGACCTCTCATTCAAACCACAGAACTCATTCAACCACAATGTGTGTCGGTTATAGTATATAGGTCAGTGTTATAGGACAAGCTAAAATTGTTTCTTGGGGTTTTTCTGTGAACTTATTCCTGAATGATATGCAGAACAGCTTCTTTGTCCTATTTCATTGCTGCAATCCTGAGAATTTTTCACGCCAGTGGCTTGCTGGCATTGCTTAATGTTGGGAAGTTTTAATTAGAAGGGAGGATACTGCATGGAAGGAGAAAAACAGATTAAATTGTAAGTGTATGGGTCATATTGGGTGAGAAATTTTGAGGTGAAGGATATTTTGTGTTTTTAGAACATAAATAGTTTAGTTTATAGAGATAAATGGTTAAGCAGATGAATTCACGAGAACATGCCATTATTTGCTCCAAAGAGTAAAATGTTAGGAAAACAGATGTGATAGAGAGAAAGTAGGCTGTGGCTTATTTACATGTGAGTGCTCATGAGACTGTGTGAGCCAAGAACACAGCTGATTGAAGCGAGTTGAAAGTCCAGGTGAGATTGAGCCCTCAGTATAGAAAGCATTCCTGGACGCCTTAGTTATGAGACTCTTGCTTTGTTTCCTCGTGATGAGAAAATCCACATGCAAACATAATAATAAATTATATGGCCAAACAGCATATGATCTGTCATGTCATACCTGAGAAGGCTTGAGGGAGAATTGAGATTTTTGCTAAGTAGACAAAGAATGAGCTTCTATGGGAACAGACTACATTGTAAGTATTCCAGTGAGCCTGCAACCTTGAGAGCCTGTTGGGTACCATTGACCTGTTACCTCTCTATGTGAGTAATCAGTATAAATGAACCAAATGTTTGTGGCCTGAAGCCACGTTCTTCTCTGTTCTGTTTGATGCCAGCACCTCCTGGAAAGAAACACCAGGTCCACGAAACAATACAGCCTACTGTCTTGGTGGCCTGAGCTGTGACTGCTTCCCTTTCCACTTGATGCCACCAAGGAGCATCCAGCCTCTCTCCAAGTGTTCGTACAGGGAAAAGGAGGTATCAGAGTAGACTAAAAACATACAGCTCTAGCAGTTATGTTTCTACCTATTATTTGCTGAAAGATGTAATATTGTAGATGTTCGATACGATGCTAGGATAAAGGGTTTATACTTTTCCTTTCCCCAAAGCCTCAAGATTAAACAAGGCTGTAGGGCTGGAAGCAAGTCTGTAAACAGAAGGGCTAAGGAGATGGCCTACCTGAAACACTTCCTGGTGAGCTGCATAGATGCTTCAGCATAAAGTAAAATGAAGAATTGAAAAATACTGTATACTCAAATAAATAGCTGGTTTAAAAAGCACAGACAATCTCTGCCAGGATTTTACTTCATTATCTTTGTATTAGAAGTATAAGAAGAGGTCTTTGTATAGGATGGATTATTTGGATAATTTTTTTCTATATAGAAGTGGCACCTATGAATTCCTTCTCATCTCCCTCTATGAAATTCATTTAATATAGACATGTAATTATCACTTGATTTATTAAGATGAATGCAGAATATTAGAGGCAGGTATTTTAGAATGCTAGAGATTCCTAAAGTAATTTTCACATTGGTTTTAGAAATATGATAGTATGTATGATTATATCCTAAGTATGATTGATATTCTTACAATTTTAATTTTTTAAAGTAAACAGTGAAGAACTTGAATATTACCAATCTGTTCTTTTTAATTTATCTATGTTTTCCACTTTTCCTGAATCCAATTCCAAACTTTATCTCTTACAAGCGGTGTGTCCTTTGACAAGTGACCCAGTTTCTCAGTGATTCAGTTTCCTTCTCTGGGGAAAATAATGGTACCAATCTCACAGGGTTATTGTGATTATTAAATGACATAATAAAAGTTCCTACAGCAATGCATGTACATAGTAAATACTAAGTGTTTTCTATTGTTGTTATACAGACAGTAGAAAGCATCATTTTTTCAGACTGGTTCAAAACATGAGCAAAGTACCATTGTCTTGTCACTTTTCATCATTCCTCCTTTTTTTGTCTTTAAACATACTGACAGGCACTATACAGAGTGTCAGGGCCTCAGCCAGGCTGGAAGCAGGCATGCTGGCCAGGGGATCAGGCGGCACCCAGCCCTGTAAACTGGCCCAAGAGCAGCGGTAAGAGGAGACAGTGAGGCGACTATGCGCTTCCTACCCGGGGGTGCTGGACACTGGATCTGAAATCACCATGCATTCTGGAGTCCATTGGCTGGTGTGGTGAAGATTCCTCTTTCCACCCCTGTCAATAACAGGCTTGGGCAGAACTGAGGCTGAATGGGAAGGGCCTCCATCATCCCAACTGAGAGGGGCTGACGGAGGACTGCAGCTGAGGCGTCTGTACCAGGAGGAGAATGGAAATGAAACAGTGCAAATAATAGTGAAAAATGTAGTTATGCCAAGAGATGAAGGGTTCATTTAAAAATTATAAAGTAAGATTTGTTTCAGAGAAGGCCCATGTTAACATTTAATCTTATCACTTTGAATCACCAATATATAACTTTTCATTAGGGGCAGTGATCATAAAAAATGATTTTAGGTTTTTTTCCAATATCATACGACTAAAGATACATAACCTTTTTCCACTTATGAAAATGAGTGCAAAAGATTGCCATTTCTCTTTAGCCAGCTGATGCCCCAAATAACAAGCCAATTTGGTTTGGCTCTTAATTTACCTTCTGAATTTTGGTTTCAAATCAGTATCACAGGACATGTACATTTCTTTCATAGCCATTGCATGACAGGAATAAACCATTGGAAAACACAGCAGAGCTCTAGGAATGTCAAGCTGTGATTATTATAAAAAGATAACAGGTCACAATAAAAAATTATCTTCTATTATAAAAAAGTCTCAATCTTCTTAATCAAATGGGCATTTCATCATTCCTCTGATCTCAACAACTTTTGCATGGAAATTAAAGATGGATAATAAGTAGTTTATCTTTCAGAACCTTAAATGAACGATTTCCACATTCAGATTGTTGACTAACGTGAATTTTCATATTTCATGGAGCTTTACTTCCTGTATTGAAAATAGAATCCAATGCATAGTAACATAAGTCTGAGCCCTCTTTGGTACATACTAAATTATACACATCATTTAGTTAAATGTAAATGATGTGGTGAGTGTTTTCCTGAGTAAATAATTTCCATTACTTATCAGATGCAGCCATTAGATGATTCTAAAAATACTACTCATCATGCTCTCAGTGACAGTTTTCCTGTATTGGCTATTTAGGTGCCAAGTTATAATCAAGAGTGAAGTTCCTCAGGGTTTCATGGTACATCATATCAGAGGTTGTCAACTGCTTTGAATATTATTAATAATTCTCCCTAAACTGTGATAAAACTAGGCCAAAGCGAAGTGAGACTTCAGTCATTTCAAATGATTAATGAAGACATTTGAAAAGCTTTTCTGTTTGATGTTTCTTGCAATTCATTTATTGTTTCCAAGTCTGATAGCTTATGTTTAACTTCTGTTTTCTCTTTCGGTGTTATGTTCCATTTGATCAGTTATGTGGGGTACAATTATAAATGTGAAACCCTTAAAAATACACCCTGTCCCTGCGAAGTCCAAGACAAAAAGAATTTTCACACACAGCAGTAGACAATCACCAGGCATGTTCAGAATTCCAGGGATGAAGCATTCTTAGCATGGCTTTAGTGAAGATACCCTACATATTATTTCTCTACATTTGAAATAACCTCAACTCTCTTAGCCTTTACAAAGGTCAATTTTTTGTGGCTTTGACCTTTTTGTGATTTTCTTTGAGCTCTCCTAACATGTTATACCTCCATCGATCTTTAAATGACAAGGCTTTGGAAAGGGTCTGGTTTATGAAGAAAGGAAACAGGGGATAATTTGGGGGATCTAAAACCTGAAAATAATGCCATCACCCAGCCTTTTTTTTTAGCTTTAAAATATAACCTTGCAGGGTGGTTTCTCTTGGACTATTTTGGCAACCCAATGATCCAACAGAAAATAGGAGACTTGTTACCTTTATTCTAAATGATATCTAGTTTTGATGTATTCATTTATTTTCTATAAATGTTAGTCATTTTTTTTATTATGAAAGAAAAGCTGCACCTGCTGCCGCTGGATGGAGATATGATTCAGATATGATAGATTTTACTAGAAAAGAAATATACTGCCATGGGACAAAGAGCCTGAAAAAATGAAATATATTGCCAAATGAAAAATTCCCCAGAGAACAAAGATCATGCTAATATTATATATCAGACAAAGCAGATTCTTATCTGTTTCTAGATATTTTATTATTGAAGATGTTAGCTGATCAGAGTTTATAATTTCAGTGCCTCTTAAGGCCTCATGCCTGTTTGAACCACAGCTCGCTCGCTCTCTCTCTCTAGATTACGAGTTAAAGAATAAATTCCATTTCACGCTCTAGTAAAACTTAACTTCTTAAGGTTCATACTGGAAATCATCTGTGAATTGTGAACAATTCTTGAAAAATAGTTGGTGCTTACTTTTTACTAAAATTAAATTAATTCACCTAACAGTTTAGTCTGTCTCATGTTTTCCTTATTTCTTGTTCAAAAAAATACATCTTACAAAACTGAAATGGAGATTGTATTTAGTGGCTAGTCAGTGCTGGCATTTGTATCTCGAAAATTTAAGGTCCTTCTTTTTCCATTAAGTTATCTTCTGTCTGGTCTAAGGGACTGATTCTCTCCTTACTCCCAACACACACACACACACACACAACCACACATACACACACACACACACGTGCACACATGCGCACATGCATGCACGCGCACAGGAGCATTTACTATATTTCACTATTTTAAGCACTTTTATAAATTCACTTATATAGTCCATATAACACTTGGAGGTAGGTACCATTGGTAACCTCCTTTTATAGTTGAAGAAATTGAAGTGAAGTCACGTGGCTGAAAAATGGCAGAGCCAGGAGCCAGGGTTTGAGCTCACATTCTGACTTTTCCTCAGCATTAACTCAGCACAATGCTCTGCTGTCTCTCTTGAGGCAGTCTACTCACCAAATCAGAACATATCCGCTCGATTTCATTCTTATTGAACCCTGAATAAATAGATTTGATGTCAACTATCCTCCTCTTGAAACTGGATCCTCCTTTGCACTTGTGACGATGACTTATTGAGCACTGCTGCGTGTCAAGCACTGTTCCAGGCACTGGGGGTGGGGGGAGAGGGGCCTTCCAGTGACTAAAAATCCAACAAAACCCCTTTTCTGTGTGGAGCTTGCATTCTAATGCGGAGAGACAGATAATGACAGACAATGAAGAGTAAATGTAATAAAATAAACTATATACAGTGTACTATGTTATGTAATGAATGGTAACATAAATGGTAAATGCTGTGGAAACGTATACATAAATAGGCACAAAGAGTAAAGGGTAGAGAGAGTCTGGGAGTACCTCTTGGGCAGACAATACAAATTAAATGATGGTCAGGTGGGGATCTATTAAGAAAGTAGTATTTGAGCATGGAATTAAAGGAGATGGGAGAAGGGTCATGAGGATATCTGGGGGAGGAACATCCGGGAAGAGAGAACAGGCAATACTACAGCCTAGAGGTGGGCTTGTGGCAGGCATGTTCAAGGAAGAGCAGGAGGTTAGGGAGGCTGGAGGGGGGAAGTGGAGAGTAGTCGGCGACCAGGCCCAAGAAATTCAGAGAGGCCAGAACAGGAACTTGCAGGCTGTTCTGGGGAATTTGGCCCTTCGAGAGAAATGGGGACCCTCTGGAATGATCCAAATAGCTGCTTAACAAATAGTTCAACCACATTCCTATAAAGAAGAAAGAGTACTTTGTTTTGCCTCGGAAAAACAAATACATAACAAAATTATAGTAGTAGCAGTTTGGAGTGATTTAGTTAAAAATTTTTGTTTTTATATCTCTATTTTAAATTTTTTGCAGTAAATTTTGTGACTAACGAGGGAAAACATGTTTGTTAATTATGCTTTAGTAAGATTTATATAAATGTAGTCTGAAAATAATATATATGCATAGAAGAGACTTGAAGGATATATACCCCAGTGTTGATAATGTTTAATATAAATAGAATCATGAATGATTTTTCTTTATTTCTAGATTCTTCATAATTTCTAGTTTTTAACAAGTGACGAGTATTGCCAGGGTAATATAACAAAAATTATGAATTGAAAGGAAGGGTTCACACATGGTCAGCAGTAAACTTTCTAAAGTACTTGGATAGTACCTTCATCTTATGCATGAAAACACATTTGGGAACTATGGGACTGGGTGCAGGACCATTTGTATAGCACAGGGAGGGGGATACATCCTTTCCTGTTTTGGGAAACTGCAGAGATTCCAAGGGCATCTCACTGTAATTTTTCAACCAGCCCTCTTCCTGCTATGAAAGACACTGAGACTAAAGAGGAGGGGTATGGAGAGAACTTGGGAGATCCACTGACCCCCTACTCCAACCCAAATAACCTTTAATTGTCTTTCAGATTATTCTTACATAAGGAGTTTAAAAATTGCATCCATCTTATTAAAACATTTTGTACACTATAAAATGTCAAGATCCATATCACTTTTTCAGAAGTCACCCATTTCTCCATTGTTGTTGAAAATGATTACTCTTTCCTTGATATCTCAAATTTCAACTTGATATACTTTATTATTTCTGAAGCTTAAAGTATATGAGGCTTTGAATGTTGCCAAATTTAAACCAAGCACTCTCTAACGATCTTTTTTTTTTAATACAACTCATCCTAGGCAGAGAGCCTTTAAAAACTGCTTTACAATAATTTTGTATTGGATTGTCGGAAAAGACATGACGCATTTTTGCAATGAAAAACATAGAAAAAATACGCCATGACTTTTCCGCCAACCCAATAGTATTCATTTTGAAATGCCGTAGGCGGTCCTGTATACCAAAATATAATGTCAGATTCTACGAAAATGATATAAATATGAACTGGCTGCCTAGATGAAATGACTGATTGATGTGATTATGTGATTCTGTTTTGTCATTTCAAGGGAGTGAAAAAAATAGACCCCAAATTATATGAAAACTTTATCAGTCACAGATTTGGAGAAGAAGTGGTCCAGCGCATCGATCTTTGCTCCATGCAAAAGAAAAAGCAAAGTAATGGCTATTATCACTGTGAGTCTTCAATTGTGATTGGTGAGTGCCCTTTAAAAATTATTTGTTAGCTTTATTTTTTATTTCTTTAGTCTTATTTTGGAAATATTTAGGACTAATTGTATGTTTTTCTCAATTACATATTTTCCTAAATACTATACTTTGGGAATAATACATTGAAAATGTTGTAGAACATATTTAGTATTCATATGTATCAGTCAAGATTTTAGTATGTATACTTTTTCTACTTTTGTACCTGAAAAATAATTATAACCAAGTCTTGAAATGTTGATTCAGAATGCATTTTGGTGTAATTTTATTTCGTGAATATGAAGAAAACATTTTCTACAGTGAAGGCTTACATGACCGCATAATCCCACACCAGACATTTTCATGTTTGCTATTGAGAATGTCCCAAACAGGAGGTTTTACTCTGAAAAGAGAAAATCTTTGTATGTGGCCTGCAAAGATTGAAAACTTGCCCTTCAGTTTCTTTCCTAAGGGAAACATGTTTTGAGGGGAAACAAAGATTCATCCATAAATGCTTCTAGCATTTTATCAGGGAGATGGTATGGATGAGACAGACTCGTACACAATTACGAGCATCGTATGTTTCCAAGTAGAAAATTACTTCACCAAATGATGATTTTTGAAAAACCAGAGGAGGGCTATCCCTCTTCGTTTGCAATGTGAATGTATTTCAAAGGAGCCCTTATCTGTTATGATTCAAATTTACTATTTCAAACTCGGTGCTATTCTTATAAAATTGTGAACTTGAAGACAACCTAATTTGTATACTTTTGAAGTAACATGAAAATAAAGAAAATAAATATTAATACATCATTCTAAATATTTCAAGGTCTTCAACCAAGATAATCTCTCTACACTTCAGCTTAAGCAAAACCTATGAAAATACATGTCCTGACAGACTCTTAATATTGAAGTTTATTAAATCACTTTAAAAAAATGTTCAAGAGACACAATTTTATTTCCAAATTCTCACTAGAGATCTTAGGAGAAGTCATCGTTTTACTTTCCAGAGATGTTAGCTATCTTAAACAGAAGATATTCAGTATGTCATTTGAATTTTATATTCTAAAACATTTCAAATCTATTCGAAGGAAGATTTTTGTGCTTTCAGAACCTCTTTCTTGTTCCCAGAGCTGTCTTCCATTGCAGTTTTAATAAGGACCAAACATTTCTGTTTGGTTCATTGTAAAAGGCAAATTTAAATCTTTGTGTAATACAGATTTTTGCTAGCTTTCTGTATCTTCTCTGTAATAACTTTAGGCCAAACTTAAAGGAGAACTAAGTATGTACTTCATTGTCTCATCTACTCCCACCCCCATTAAAAAAAATAAACAAAAAGAGCAATATGTAGATTTCACTGAAGATCTTGTAGGACTGCGTTATACAGCTTAGAGCATGCTTCACCTGTATTGCCAATAGCTTTGCGCAGCTCAATTCCAAATCACTATGAGTATTCCAGCCACTGAATTTTCTCTTTTATCGCGCTTTTCCGTTTAGTCTGTAAAATTTCCCCGATTCTAGGCAATTTACCTAGATTTTTTTCCTTAGGCTTCTTTATCTCTGACCCTTTTCTAATTTAGAGCAATTTAGCTTCTTTCAAACTTTACGAGCCTTGTATCCCCATACCAATCATTTAACATTATTTAAACAAAACGTTTTTTGCCCATCACAAATATTTTTTTCTGTCACATTTTGTGATGTCAGTATGAACTTGATAATAACATCTGTGTCTAAAATGGTAATTATTATGTTAAAATTATCCAAATTTAGTACACACTGGAGTTCTTCTATTTGCTATGTGTAATTATTGATTTTCTTGATCTTACCTGAGTTTTGTAATAGAATTTTTAGCAGGATTCAGGACACTGTCTTTGTGAGTTTTGTTTCTTGATCAGATTTAATTGGTTTACATTGGTTTGGCTTCTCTTTGACTTGATCCAAACTAAAATTTAGTGTTTGTTTCCTGAACCTTGTGCCATTATTTTACTGTATGTTTTAATAAAGTGGGACAGGTTTCAGATCTTAAGATATTTTGTACTCAGAATTCTAGGGTAGAAGTTGGATTTCAAGGACTCTGGGAACCTGAAATTTTTATAAAACTGTGTATATAGGTACATATGTAAATTTTTCTGGGGAGAGAATTTACTAGATTTGCATATTTCCTATCTCTTGTTTTGTTAAATGGTGCATTCTTGGAGAATGCTAAATTCCGAATCACCCATTTTCTCTTCAACTGTCTCTATCATTTAAGGCCTTTTGTGTGTGTGTGTGTGTGTATGAATGTGTGTATGTGTGTATGTGTGTGAGTGTGTGTATGTGTGTGTGAGTGTGTGTATGGATGTGTACGTGTGTGTATGT